CCAATTACAGAAAGAAATAGGAGGTGATTTTCCACTACACTAGTAGCTTTCTTAATAAAGTGATGCTATTTAATTTCACTAGAGTTACATTTTCAGTTTAAGTGACGTTAATGTGGTATTAAATGATTTGTAATATTAAAAAGTTACTTATTTTCACTTTTCATTCAACATATCATCACCACCACATAGATTGAGATTGTAACCTCATTGGAACTAAATAGCACTATTCTTCTTAATATGGTATTTTACGGTTTTCATTTTTATTTCTTCGATTTGATTCTTTGGCATGAAATTATTATAATTTGTTTATTTTTAAATTTAATTTTTAACTCATTTTACGTATAAAATACAAAATTACCATTTTACCATTATTGAAATAGCTAATAATGTAGTCAAAATTATTTTTTGAGATCAACTAATTGTCAAATGGATGGATTCAATCTATTTGTCCCTGTGCCGCAATAAAAATGAAAGATTTGAGATAGTGATTGATACAAATAAAAAGTCTGAATAAAGTCTGTAAAAAATATATATATTGGGGACCATGGCTGCAATTCTCTCTAAAATCAATTCCGTGATGAATTTGAATCACTTATTCAAGATAAGAAAGCAAAGTGCAAAGTGATATCACTTATTCAAGATAACTTATTAGAATTTATTTTTTCCTGTCCTACATGATAATTAATTACACATATATATCAATTCGAACTGTCAATTATCATTAAAGCAACTTGTGCTAAAACATAATCATCCTATAGTTAGACACTTTTGTTGGGAAAAAAAAGTGAAAGACATCTTTTTTCACTTAAATAATTATTTTGGTTCTGTTCATAGTCTTCATTTTAGAAAATCTTGTAGATACAAAATGCTCTTATGTGCCTCGAAAGATCGAAGAGATTTTGCACGAAGTCCCTGCAAAGTCGTTATCAAGTCATTCTTTTAAAATACATGACGAGTTGAGCTCTATTCAATCTGGTACCTTAATTTACTAATTTACTTGCTTCTGATGTGTTTGATCACATTTTGCTTGCACGAATTTGACCTTATTTATTGTTTTCATTAATTTACCTATTCAACCTTTTCTCGTAGCATTTTTAGATGACCGTGTATTTTGTAGTTATATTTATATCGAGATACACAAATAACTGATTATGATTACCTAATTTGCAACTGCCTATGATCATTATCTCGACTTGCCACATTTTTGTTTTTCACGTATAGCAAAATTAATTGACAAAGGTGATAAAAATAACAGAAAACGAAATTCCAAATGCAAATTGTGAAAAAACTCAATATTTAGAAGATGAACAATGCTAGAGGTATAGAATTTTTTGACAGAAGAATTTTACAGATATGACATCATTGAAAGATGGGGAAAAAAAAGTCCAATCATGTTTTATTATATCAGTGTTAGTACGAGTTCTAATAAAAATTTTCTGTACTCATAGCTTTTTTTTTCTGTACTCATACCTTTATTGTTAAAAGATATGGAAGTCGATGAAGTAAACGATTCAGATATCAATTTGACGATCGGTATCTGTTTTATAGCCTACCAAAGCGTGGTGTTGAAATTAAAGAAGGAAAAATGGCCGTAAAATTTAAATTTAAACAAAACAGATTACAGATCCGTAATAAATATAATTTTTTTAAAAAAAAATACTAATTTATGGCGGAACTTATGTCGGATTCTCGATAATATGTACTAGAAAGCTAGCTTAATTTTTCAAAACACATGATACACTTGCTTTAATTTTTGAAAGAGTAGTGCTCGGCGTACAGGCCCAGCACTCACAAGGTTGGGGTCGATTTTTTTTTTTTAAATTATATAAATGGCGTCGGGGCCCACGTGGGGCCAACCCCATGTGAGGGATTGGTAAGACCAACTTTGTTCTTTTTGAAATATTGACAGATTGTCATACTTCTTTTTTTTGTTTTTCATTTTTTTTTAATGGATTGTTGTACGTCGGAAAGTGTTTATTAATTTTAATTTTTTTTTATTTACAAACTTTTATATGGAAATATTTAAGTACGTAATTGTTTATTAATTTTTTTAATTTTTAAAAAAGTTTTTCGCGATGGGTTTTGGTTTCGAATAATTTTAATTTTAAGTTTTATTTTTAAATAGTCACCAATGGAAATCTCCGTTGGGAAATCAACATATAAGTGTTTAATTAATTTTCATATTCATTTTTTTTTTCTATTTTTATCAACAAATTAGCGATGAAATATCATCAATTATTGTGGGTTGAAGTCGGTTTGAACAATGTAAAGACTTGCACCGGCCACATGGTTGGGACCATATTTGGGTCCAAATTAGATTGTCTCAATATCTTATCAAACTCATCATATCAATCAAATGATCTTATGACTACGTCAACTATTGAATTGAAACGCACGCCCCATTTTGAAAATATTTTGAAACTTTCATCATTTTTCTGGGTTCGAGAACGATTACTTTTCAATAAAGGTAAAGTTAAAATTGTACATGAACAAATTACTACGGGTACATTTTTTTTTTCCTAAAATGTGAAGAATATGAAAAAATTCACGTACATAATACTTACAAATTGAGATGGATTCAGATCTTTTAGATCATCGACTATTAATAAACAGTTGATTTGGAGAGCCACTTTGGATAGTTTAAAAAGTTCCAATAGAGAGAACATACTGAAATCTCATTTTTCAAAATTGATTCTCCAATATTGAGAGAGTCTTAAATTTAAATAGTCTCTTGAGAATACTTTAAAAGATAGAGAAGTTAATATTGCATTAAATAAATTTTTATGATATTTTATGATCGTATGAATGCATTTTCAAATATTCATTTTCATTCCAGTTTTTTGCACTATAAATAAAAATAGAAATTGAAGAAAATAAAACGAAGTTAAGGCAATACCGATCAAATCAACCTATCAGGAAGATGTTAGAATGACATAGGACACAAACCTATAGTCAAAGTGTCATTCATGACCTTATTGCAACCGACCTCAAAACTAATCAAAATATTTCAAACGGCGCATTATCACAAGCCTTAGATTGGAACAAAGTGGCTGACATGATTAGGATGACAAGTTCGAGTCCATCAGCCTCCATAAAGGAGAAAAGAATGAATGACATGAGAAGATTTGAACTGAAACACACTATACAGCTTTCTTAAATTTCAAATAAGTAAATCACTTCTTGAGGAAGACTAGAGATGGGTGCTTTTGGAGCTCGACTCGATAACAATTAGTAGAACCCGATCATAGACGATCCAAGTTCGGCTCAACTCATTGCCATGGCTAACTAGTTTCCTACCGAGGTCACATGAATTAAGCTTGCTTCTATGATTTTATTTCCTTTGGCAAAAACAACTGGGCTTTAAAAGTACACGCTTAATGCTATAGTACGCCTTTTCTTTTTCATTTTCTGAAAAGAGTGCAGTACAAAATTATTATAAATTTTTGAAAATATTCGCTGTAACATTACTGTGTATGAGATGTATTTTGATTCTTTTAAAAAAATATTTTTTATTACGTACACAGTTATTGAGAATTTAACTTCATTCCATATACCAGGAAGAAGTGACACATCACCATAAGGCCCTGTTTGTCAATCGTTAAAATTTTAAATTATTTGCTACAATATTATTCTCCATCACATATTTACACAATAAAATATTCTACAAACGAACCAATAAATTTTTTTTTATATTTTTTTATATATTTTTTTTTTTACTTTTAAATCACACATTCTCAAAATAATACTACTCAAAACTCTCTAACTTACTAAATAATGGGCAACAAACACCGGCTAAATTTGGATTAAGTTGAATACAATTCTTCAAGTGGACGAAAAAATTGACTGCAATTCTTCAAGGAGATGAAATCTAGAATTTACTTGTAAACAAACTTGCTGAAAATAAACAATCATCTTATATCTACTACCAGTTAAAATCAAGAAGAAATTGAAACTAAAACTGCATGTAAAGTGTGTGATCAATGGTGTATATTTATTATTAGAAATATGTACAACAATCATTTAAAAATAATAAATTGCATGAGAACTAGCATTTTATCATATTCAACCAATCGTGTACACAAATAATAATGGGACAGGACTCTTTCGATATGAAGAAATTACTGGGGAGTGTTTGCAATACAAGGAGAAGTTCCCTTGAGAACGTCTGCATGCACCAAGCCAGCTATTACAAAGAACAAAAATGACCACAAGCATTTTCACTACTCAGCAAGTAGTGCATATTACAACAATCAAGATTTCTACTTATTTCACTTTTAAATAAAGTCGATTACGGGTCTAATATCGTAGATCGACATACCAGGTTACTGTGGTTTAGGAAGTCCATAAAAATCGCCCTCCATTCTCTTCTTCTTCTCCTCTAATGCATTACTGGTGGATCTCCATCTACAGAAAGAACCAAACAGGACCTCCATATCCTCCAGGTTTCTTCCCCGTGTCTCCGGTAGCAATGTGTAGAAGAAAATCCAAGCTATAATTCCAACCCCTGCAAATAAAAAGAAAGCCCCTCCAATTGTAATACTCTGGTACAGGGATATAAATGACATTAAGATCACCCCACTGATGAATCTATTCATTGCGACTCCCATACCACAACCTTGGGCCCTTAGCCTCAATGGGAAGATCTCGGAACTGTAGACCCATGCAATGGGACCCATCCCCGACGAGAAAAAAGCAACGGCTAATAATGTCATGAGAATGCACAAGGCGATGGCCCACGTTAGTTGTTCATCGGGATATTGATCGATTACAGTCAATCCAATGGCCAGACCTATGAGGCAGATTACCATACCACCGCAACTTGAAAGAAGCAAAACTCGTCGTCCAATCTTGTCTAGGAAAAATGTGGACACTAAGGTGAAGATAGTTTTCGAGACTCCTACGGCTATAGTTGCGAGTAGTCTGTCCGTCTCAGTTTTTAAACCAGCTTTCTCAAAAATTCGGGGACTGTATAACACAACAGCATCTATGCCACTCGCCTGTTGAAAAAAATGCACGCCAACGCCCACCAACATAATGTGTTGGACCGTTGGTGTAGGGTGGAGGAATATTTCTTTCCATACATCCTCACCACGGCTTCGTTTTGGAACAGAAATGATTTCGAGGTCGCGATAACTTTCTGACAATCCTGCAGCCTCTCTAATATCAGCCAATCTCATTTTGGCCTCTTCTAATGAGTCCGAAGTTTTTTCCAAGACTCTTCTTGCTTCGCCTATACGACCTTGCATGACTAGCCACCGGGGTGACTCGGGCATGAATAGGACACCAACAGCTAGGAAAATTGATGGAAGTGCACCAATACCAAGCATGAATCGCCAGCCCAAGTTAGTTGGAAGTTTGGCAAATGCATAATTGGATACATATCCTAGCAATACCCCTACAAAACAAATTAAATAGATAGAACGAATACATTAGAGTGACATCATATATTCTTTAAGACATAATTTTTAGGCAACATAAGATAACAAATTTACACATTTTTATGTTGTTAGAATTAACAATATTAACAAAGTGATTTAGCCCCTCTTTGGTTCCCTTTAAAACTCATCAATTTAATTTAAATTTTTCTCTCTCCTATTTTCAACCACACAATTTTCAATAAAATAATATTTCACGAAAATTAAAAACTTTTCATTTTTTTAGAACTATTCATTTTTCAAAAAAAATACAATTCCCCTATTATAAATTCAAATAATGAATGTCAAACGGGGCTTAAATTTTTTAAATTAGCATGTTTTAATATGAAGGATAAGTAGTCTAATGATTTTTAAAAGTAGTATTTCAAAATGGAGGAGGCGTGTCAAACTAGAAAAGTAGAAATACAGTACAATGCTTGTGTTTGTGGGAATAAATGCAAAAGGAAATGCTGAGTTCTCTCATTGGTCCACATATCAATATCATCTCCGCACAATTCACGTTTTACACCGACAATAGCGACAAAGTAACCACTATCTAGATATTTGGGTTTTTGTCAAACTATCAACCAAATTAATTTAAATAAAAAATAAAATAGATTTTTCTCACAATAAAACATTCAGTCCACGTTTTGTTTTGATCAAGATTCGATTTTAATGTGAACCCTTGTTTGATCCCCATTTTAGGAAAAATAATACATTTTAAATAGTGAATTGATGAAAAATATGTAATCAAAAATTAAAAAAAAATTAAATTCACATATATAATATTATTTTATTGAAAAATGTGTGGCTAAAAATAAATTTTAAAAAAACTAATTTATAGAAAAATGAGAACCAATCAAACGCTAAATCAAAATCAATTAATCATTATTAACCATATTTTTCATGAGCATCGCAACTTTACAATCATACATTTGAAAATTTTCTATTACAATTTATTAAAAAATCTAATTTTAAAACCACCAAACATCCTCTTAATGCATAACTCCGAAAAAAAATTTCCTACTTTTTATCACACATTTTTCAAGGAAAAAAATCACTATTTCGACTCAGTTTCTAAAAATTAAAAATTAAAAATTAACGGTTGTCAAACAGGGATGTGGAAACGATTATTCTTCCAAAAAGTAGAATTTCAAAGATGGAATAACAGAGGGAGAAATTAATTATAAAAGATAAATTCACAGATCCCTTATTGATTATTGACAACTATTGCACATTCAAGGAATAATAACAAACTCTACAATTAAGGAAATCAAATAAAAAATTTAAATTGAGAGATATAAATAATCAATTTATTTTTTATCTTATAGTAGATAATTTATAATTAAGCCTAATTTTTTAATTACCCAACAATAAAAATTTAAAGTAAATTGAAATGATATATATATTTTTTTTAAATAAGCATTAATGTCATGTGTCTACACCTCAATCTACGCACGATTTAGGTATGTGTGAGAAACCCTACCAAAAGTGATGAAGACTTCAGGGAAAGAAGTGAGGAATCCACGAGATGCTGCCGGAGATACCTCGGCGGCGTACACGGGAGCGATCATCAGCGCATAGCCAACTCCGATCCCGGCCACAAACCGGCCGACCATAAGATATGCATAGTTGGTTGCCAGGCCCATTAACAGAGCTCCGATAAAGAAGATTGCCGAAGCGAAGATTATGGTGTAACGGCGGCCAATCCAGTCGGAGGTCCGTCCGGCCACGGCGGAGCCAACAAGGGCGTAGATGTTTATGGTCCCTACTAGGATCTCTATTTGGACATCGGAGATTCCGAGGTCTTTCTTGATGTAAATCGTAGCTCCACTCATCACTCCTGTATCTGCAAAAATTATGAAGAAGTTGGGACAAGAAGGAAACTAAATCTAATTGAAACAAGAAACAGTATTATTATTTTTATAATTACCATATCCGAGTAAGACCGATGTCATCGAAGCTAAAATAGAGCAAGCTAAAGCATACATGTTTCTCTTAGGCTTCTTTTGGACGGCCAAATCGGGAACCTGCAGGTGGGATTGGCTGGAAGATCCATTTCTTTCAGGGTTATGGTCAGCCGTAAGGAATGGATTTGGGTCCGCCATAGGCAAGGAGGTTGAGCTTAATTTGAAGCGAATTTAGATATTGCTTTGCTTTACTTGTTGAGAGCATATATGGTGTAAATTCCTTTATTTTTCGGAAGACAGAGACGAATGAGAATTTTGGATAGCAAATATACAAATATATACAGATAATGGTTAGTGGAACGGGTAATTACACAAAAGATCATCATCGTTTGTACTTATTCCGAAAATCATCCCTATCGTTTCAAATTCGACATTTACACACTTATTTCAATACTTTCTTGCCAACTTGGTACTTTAAGGTCTATTCCTTTAATTCCATCATCAAATTTCGTTTGTTTTCATTGCGCAAATCGCTCATATCATTTCAATTTTGACATTTGAACCCTCAAATCAACATTACTTTTCGTAAAAGGTCCATTAAAGAAGTGCAAAATAACAAATTTATTAATTTTTGAAAAATAAATAAATAGAAAAGAAAGAAATAATATAAAAATAATAATTAAGGTCAAAGTACTAAATAGTAAACAGTGCAAACAAGTCCCCTTTTAAAATAATTTAAAACATATTTAGAAAATCCATCTTAAAAAAAATAAAATGAAATTCTTTTCCTCTTTGCTGGATTTGAATTAGAGTAGTTAGGGTTATAATTTGTATTAAAATCTCAAAAGAACCCTCTAATGGAAGAAGAAAGAAAACCAACTTCAAACATCATTTTATGAGAATTGGTGGTGACAATAGGGTGTGAAATTGGCTTGAAAAGAAGAACTATTTTATTTTAGATTTATATTTTTAATTATTTTCTTACCCTTTTTATACTTTTATTTCCGTTTTTAAGTATTTTTCCGATGGTGACGGAGGGTAGGGGATGGGGATAGTGGCATTAATTGGGAAGATAAAATATTTTTCTTTTATTATAATATTTGGAATTATTTTGTGTGGTACTCGTTTATACTTTTCAAAAGGCTTAGAGCTCTAGCTGCAACTTTTTTATATTCTTTTTTCTTTTCTATTTCCCCATTTAAAGAGGAGAGTAAATTAATCATTTTAACTGCTTTAATGGAGGTAATAATCTTTTGCGAAAGGAAAGGTCGATCTAAGAATTCAAATGTCAAAATTGAAACAATATGCAAATGATAGGGATGGTTTGCGTCAATACCCGTATTTGATTGAAGGAATAAACGGAATGGAAGGAAAGGACCAATTCTGCAAAGAAAAAAAGTCGAAATAAGTAGAGATGACAATTTGAACCGTCAAAATCGAAAAATGCGGTTAACCGAACCGATGGTGCAATGGGACGGATATGGTTTTTATTTTAATGAACCGGTTCGTGGCGGTACGGGTATGATATTTACACCGTCGAACCAAAACCGAGCCGATTACCCGTTAAAAAAAATGAATTGATTATTGGGATTTACACTACTTTTCTATCTAAACCCAAAACAAAAATCTCCCCCTCGATTACATCTACATGACTCAGCCGGCCAACCCACTTACCATTACCCCATAATAATAGCATTAGTATAACAGTATATAAACGCAAATCATACTCTTCACAAACCACAAACTCATGCACGGCTCCTTTTATTGTTAATTTTTTTCTATTGTGTGTAAAAAATTTTACTTCTTCATCATACTCTAGAGTTTGTGCAACGTTTAGCGAGAAGGAAGTTGACGAAAATGTACATTTTTTTTATTTAAAAATTAGTTAAGACCATTCTGGAATAGATAGTATCGTTGTATTCTCTACTTACATTTCTTATTTACTTTATAGAAATCAACTTTGAGTGTTGATCTATGCTAGTAAGACTTGTGGGGAAGAATGAATCAAGTAATTTCGATGCACAACAATTAAGAATGAAAGAAAATTTTAGTATTGTTATATTTATAACATTGTTTGTTAAATTTGTATTTTACAATTGAAAATTGGAATAATGTTTGTATTTTCGTTTGATAATATTTGCATTTTCGTTTGGAATATTGTGTTTTTATTTTCATTGACTTTTTTTATAAATTGTTTTATATCAGTTTGACGGATGAGCCTATAAAAAATAATTTATTTTCGTAGTTATTAACGAAATCGAATCGTACCGAACCGAGATACGAATCTAACCGATTTACGTGGTTATGGTACGGTTATGGTATGGTCAAAAAATTGGTGGTGCAGTTATGATTTTAGCCAAACCGACCCATAATCGAACCGTTGCCAACCCTAGAAATAAGGATGCAAATATCAAACTTGAAACTAATAGGGAAGATTTGTACAATGAATACAAACAATGACAACCTTTTGCACAAAACTTTTTTTTTTTTGACACAGGTGTCAAAATCTTATGGAAGTTAACCGACGGATAAGATTAGCGCAACAAATATGAAATAAAATATTCACACGCTGCACTTTGATGGACCACAACCTTCGTCATTAGATGTGGTATTTTAGTATATACAACTAAAGGGAGACACACGACTTCAGGAATTGCAATAAGGCGCACTCTGTGTTCAAGGAAAATTGATATTAAAGCCCTGTTTAATAAAAATTGAAATTTAGATTTTAATTTTTTAAATCAAAGTCAACATTTAATTTTAATTATATATTTCACAAGATTTACGACATTTTAATCACATATTTCATCTAATTTTATCAAAACTTATTAAAAATCCGATTTTAATCTTTACTGTACATAGGCTAAATCATAACCATTGACTCCAATTTAAGCACATTCTATTGGAGGAAAAATGTGCTTTAGACAAAATAATGGCTCATCATTCAGGGAAATTACATGACAAGTTGTAGATTGATTTAGACGTGACCCATTTATTTATATAGCGGTTATCGCCTCGACTATTTTTAACGTGTCAAATTAAAAGATTTTGTACATGAAAATCAGATAAAGTTCGTCACTTGCTTCCAATACGTATATAACAAGAACTAGTGCCGTATTGAATTTTTTATTTTTAGAATAAATAAATATATATATAAAACTGTTTCTTAAATGAATGTGCAAGCTGGAAAATTTCAAATTGCTTTAAAATATATTTAAAGTATGACAGCTTGAGACCAAAGACCCTTTTCTGCTGCGGATTAAGTAATCAAAATTGACACGGACTTTGTGAAAGCGAAATTTTGTGGCCGGGACTTGGAAAAGATGCTTGCAACTTGCGCATATCATTGTCGACCTTGATTGATAAGCTGAATATATGATCTCGTTTTGAATCCGTCCAAGTGTACGGTAACTAGGATTAAAAAAATGAAAAGTATGCAACATATCAAGGAATAAGATGTTTGTATACAATATTGTTGCACCAAATATATTTTAATAAGATAGAAAATAATGTTGGAATGTATTTGCCTTTTCAAGTTCTGGAGGAATGTTGCTGATGTGCTAACTGTTGGTATCTTTTGGAAAGGAATGAGAGGAAGATGAATGTTGATTTCAAAAAATACACCAAGATCTCGTCCCCTCATCACCTGCACACAAAGCACCTCGTTAGGAAGCAAAGGCCTCCAGTCGAGAAAAGGGTTCGGCGAACGTTTGCACTCCGATGATCAAGTCAACGGTCGGAGAAAGAAATGAAACCACATATATATAGAAGATGGAGAGGGGCTGAGTGCGTTAATGGGTCTCGTCCAAGGCCAATGCAATAATTTATATGTATAACAATGAATTCATCACACAGATAAGGGGTGGAGCCTTTCCTAGTCTAGTGCAGGCAATTCACCGAACTTTGGGCCTGAGCTAGTCCTTTTTTCTCATTGCAGGTAGAACCAGTTAACATTATCAGCTTTGCTATGTTACCAGGGAAGGTTTGACATCCTCTTTGACAAACCCCTCACAATAGGAAGAGGAATTTTTTGGCATTTTTTGTTCACATGGGTCATACTCCCATTTGAGTACTTGTCAGCAAGAGTGACATTTTCTTTCGGGCAAAAAGGTTTAATATAATATTATTGTCGATTATGAGGATCAAGCCTAGGCATTAGGCACCTGTTAGATATGGATTAAAATAAAACTTCTAGTAGATTTTCATAAAAAATGATGAAATATGTGTTTGAAAAATAATGGATACTATAAAATATGTGATTAAAATTAATTGTAGACTTTAATTTAAATTAAAATATAAATTTTGATCCATACCGAACGGGGGCTAGATGGGAGGTTGTTCATGTGAAAACTACACATGGGGAAAAAGTAATTACTTATATGCTATTGGCTTAATTTTTCCGGTTCACACCCATATAAATGACCTGCTCCCCACAACTGTTATTCTTGGTGGAGACACCAACGTTATAGATGGATTCCACAGCTTACTGAACTGGCACATGCATCGTCAACATATATTCCAGTGAATTAGAAATTTATAATTTAAAATCGAGAGACACTACATGTACAGAAAAATGATATGCAAAAATTTTACAGACTCACAACATCTGGAGTGGATGATTTAATTTTTTGAATATAAAACTCACAAGGACCTCACCCCATGTGAGATTTCTGTTTTTATCCTGTATGAAAAAACTCCGTACATTCTGAATTTTTCTTTAAAATCACGTTACATGTTTCTTCAAAAGTATCATGATCAAGTTAACATTTGAGAGCAAGGGAGCGTGATTTAGCCCCCGTTTGGTTCCCATTTTCTAAAAATGGATGGAATAGTACTTTTTTGAAAAATGAGTGATTAAAAAAGAAGAAAAAGTTTTCGATTTATGTGTAATATTATTTTATTGAAAATTGTGTGGTTGAAAATAGAAAAGAAAAAAATAAAATGAAATGTAATGGGGGCAAACGGGTGCTTAATTACCACTCGAAATATTAAAAAAGCCAAGTAACAAGTTGCCTATTTGCTAGTTCAGATTAGTTTTCAGTTGTCATTGACTTTGTTCACGGTAGAAAGCTGGTAAGATATTCTGTGTAGTTTGGTAATGATGATATTTGTTATCTTTTAAATTGAAATGGTGGGCCGATGATACTATTGCAAGATTTAAAAGGTGCATTCAATTCGAATTTTTGAAGATTTTGATAAAAAAAAATTAAAATGATGATTTTTTGTGGAATTCGCGATTTTTTTTTAAAATTTGTATAGAATTAATATAAGTCTTTCATAAACTCAATAAACTTTCATTTTAAAACTTTTAAATTTTTT